ATATATAGGGGTGCAACAATACTTACACCTGTACTGAATCATTCAGTACTGTGCGCTAGGTTCAATAAACACTATGTATCGAACAATACAGATATTTTAAATTAGGGCTATTCAACTGGAGTGACCAAAGGTCGGCCCGCCAATTGGTTCATTCATCTCTTAAGCCCAAACCCCCGATTTTCTACTTTAATTACTCTAAGTTATTTTAGTTAAACATAGACATGTTTAGTGTCTACAGAAACATCAGAATCTTGGCTACAAGCTGGTGAAAACCATTTCTATGAACATCCAAGACAGTTAAAACTACAAGCAGTTGAATATAAAACTATGAAAATGAAAATAAAATTGGTTTAAAAATTTGGCAAGTCAGAGATGTCAAAATATTTTGTGGTAAATAAGCGGCATAATATGTTTTTTTGTTTGTTTTATCATCACTACATTTATTAAATAGGGTTCTGTGTGTTGTAATCATGATTAAATACAGCAGAATAAACTATTTCAAAGGTCTTTCTAATACTTAGTTTATTTACATAACAACTTTAATTGCTGGATGTTCGGCCCCTGAGCTGTTGGTCTGCATTAACTGTGGCCCCCGGAGCAATTTAGTTGAATAGCCCTGTTTTAAATGTATTTTATCAGCTTGTCTTCTGAAGATGCTGTGTGTTGAAGGCTCAGTGGATCTGCACAGACTGCTGTTTCAGCAACATTTAATTTAAAAACTGAACTTTTGAGGTTAAACAAATATTCAGAATTAATTTAAATAATTACAAGTTAAGAAAGACATGCGATTTTCTCTTTTTTTTTTGTTTTGAAATACAAATCGAACCACTAAAGTATTGAAATGAAATGAATCATGAAATTTCTGTATAATTGGAGCACTAATATTTATTTGTAAGTTAAACAATACGCTTTGTGAAAGCAAGCATAAAAAGTTATCCTGAACAATAATAAATAGCAGTTTGAAAGAGTTTCCTCTAGTAGGTTTCCAATAATAAAGATCTACAACAACCTTTATTTGATGACGGGACAGGGGAATATATTTACATATATATACATATATATATACATATATATACATATATATATTAGAAAACCAACTCCAACGATTAAACCATTCGTGCGAGTTGGCTCACATTTGTGTCAGTGATATAAGTGATAGAATTTTTCAGAAAGTTTCATTAAAATCCGAGGTCATCAAACAAACTGAACTGAAAACACGTGAAAGTTTCAGGAAAGGTTTAATGCACCGCAGAGATCAGTTGATCAAAGTTTGAAACCTGTCTGAGCAGACCCAGAAGACTCTGCTGTCTGTCTGTTAGCCACTGTTGGCAATGTCTGAGGAGATCATTGAATACAGCCTGAACCAGCATGCTGCAGATCGAGTGCTTATCCTGGGCAAAGTTGGACAGGAAGCCAGGCCGACCGTTTCAGCTCCGAGTCCTGGGGGAGGAGCTAAACCCACTGCACCTGAATGCATACAGGCATACAAAGGATGGATAAGTGCCTTCAGCCTACTAGAAGGGAGAGGAGGGACAGTCTAGACACATTTTATGTTACTGATAACCACTGATCACTAATAACGTCCATTTAATGGACTGACAACATTCAAAGCAGGGAAAGTTCAGCTGTTTCTGCTGGTAAATAAACACACTTGGGTATATTGGTAACTGGCAGCCTGTCACAACTTTTGCAAAACCTTTAATTTCTAGACATGTTAATCATCCATATGAGAGGAAAATTTAGCAAATTATCTGTGGGTGTATGTTTTGACTGGCTTTCATTACTTTGTAACGAGTATCTATAAAATGTTACACAAGTTATAAAGAGTTTTTTAAGGAATATGCCCAGGGACGTAGGATAAGAAAATAATAATGTGTGCCCAACATTACTATCTTGTGGCCAAAAGATACAGTAATTTTGTGCAGCTGAATTAGCTGTCTCTTTGTGAGAGAGAGAGAGAGACGTTGTTGAAGTCAGGTTATTTATGATTACTTTGTTTTTGTGTGTGACTGTTCCAAGTTACCCCACATTTATTTACTTTTTGGTGTATGATTAATATAAATGGTTCATTTTCCATAGTATTTACGAGATGACATTGAACATTGATGTTCACTGTGTGAACATGATGTGTCAAGAAACATATTTTTTATTGTTCCTGAACGTAACATGACTCTGACTCCTACCACAGTGTTGGTACGGAGTGAGAGAGGAGCCTGCTTCCAGTCGACTCCTGTGTCTTATAGTTGCAAGTTATACTAAGAATTACTCCATGCCTAACCACAAATGATGGCAGTATATCATTGTAATTTGATTCTATATTAAAATCAAATGAAATGAAACTTTTCCAGGTTAATAATCAACTCTCTGCATAGAAATAACAGCAGTAATTATCTCAAGGCCACACATTATGAGATAATAATGCACGGGCAACAATTATTTGGTTTTTCATCCAATGTCACCAGATGGGTTCCATAACTTAAAGTTTACAGATTATTTTTTTGTTAGACTTCATTGAAAAATTTAACAAGAATAACTTGGCCTGTTTCTTTGCTCTGAATGCTGTTGTTTCAACCATGGTGGTGCCCAGAACTGACAACTGTCTTTGTGATCATTTACATTTTTGCATCTTAAAGTCGTTCCATGTGTGATTACTTAAATAACTTTTTCTTCTTTCCTCAGTGAGGAAGCCAACCACAGTGAATCAGCCGGCTCAGCTCCAAAGGTGAACTAAACATAACACTCACCTGTTCAGTGACTTCCTTTAGAGACACTGTGTAACCCTGCAGGTCGACTGTTCGTTTTAACAAAAATAAAATACTTTCGAAGTCAGAAACAAATTCTACTTGTTTTTGTCAGTGAATGCTCTATAAAACAGACAAATGATGTAAAATAAATACAACATACAGCTTCAACGTTTTTTAAAAACAGGTTTTAAGTTCATTCTGGGTATTCTTGGCAGACTTGGTTGAGTCCCTACCAGTGTAAATTGGCAGGTTTCCTGCAGCAACTTCCTTCCAGAAGCTTACTGTCAGCCTGCTTTAGCAAATCAAAAACCAGTTGTGATGCTTTACCCAATTAGAAACTAGCTCTGATACTTTATCCAATCAGAAATCAGTTCTGGTGCGTGTTTGGGTTCATGGTCCTGTCGGACTCCACACTGTTTCCACCATCCATCTGTTGATTCAAGGTGAAGATACTTCCACCACCATGCTTGACAGTTGGAACAGTGTTAAAATGCTGTGTGACCTTTGGAGGCCGCGGCTCATTCTTGGTCCTCTCTGTTCATGGTGTAGAACTGGCTTCACTGTGGACAGGAACCTAACCTGCTGCTTCCAGCAGATTTTATGTGGTTCCTTCCATCTGAGTTGGAGAATCATTTCTTACTGGAAAAAAATAACATTTATGCTCCTGATGAGTGGATGGAAACTTTGGACTACAGCTGTAGATACAGGAATAAACCCAGAAAGACTGGTGTCTGAACAGTTATTGTTTGGAATATGTTGTATGACTCACTGCTCACTTGATCAGTTTTGTTTTTATTCTCAATGAGACTTTTACCTGGATAAGTAAAATATAAACATATAGTATCTAATGCAGAATAAACTCAAACAGACCTGAGATAGAGTAAAATATTTTTTACATTTGTACAAAACAGGATCTTGGTTAAAAAAAATCTCATAATTTATACTTTTCAAGTAAATTTGGTTTATTTTAAATGTCCTGTGTGAAAAAAAATGAAAGTTTGTTTACTAAGTGAAATATCTGTATATATATTTATATTTAACTTCTAGTAATAATAATTTAATGCCATATTGAGTATGCATACTAACATGGCTGCATGTTTCTTGCTGCTTTTGCATGTTGCATGCACCGTGTGTGTTATAAACCCTGCTGGTGGAGAAGAAGCCTGGTCCTCCTCCCAGTCGGCCTCCGTCACGACCACCGCCATCGCCGGACACAAAACAGCCAAATGCCAGCCTGTTGGAGGAAGAAGCCTTGGGAACAGACACTGACACAAGCTGCACCAGAACAGCACCACAGGTCAGACTGAACCTGGACTGCCCACATGTTAAACAGGTCCATCTGATGGTTTCTACTTACACTCTGAATGATCGTTTAAACACAGACTCTTTTCAAACAGCCTGGGTTTATTTTTTCAGCTACTATTTTGTGATTTTATTAAATTATAAAGTCATAAATAAATCTGAAGACCTGTTGGAATACTGACTAATTGATGTGTTGACGTATTTTTGAGAAAAGATTTTGGTCTGACCTCGTATGTCGAATTTTAGATTAAAAATTAGAGACCTGAAGACTGAACCCTGAGGAACTTTTCACTGATTTAAATCAGTATTTTTCATTTGTGTTAATTAGATAAACACAGTTTATCCACAACTCCATTTTTTTAACATAAAGATGATAAAATTCCATAACAGTATTAACAAATTTGTTGTATTATACTTAGAAAAAAGACGTTTAACTAAGCCTAACCCTATTACCACCTCTCACATGAATGTGTGCGTATGTAGCAGTGTGAGCTCAGGTCAGGGGTCAACCTGCTGAACTGGGATGTTGAAGTTGCTCCAGATGTGGATGTATTCGGTGCTCAGGTCAGATGTTTCAGAATTTATGCTGAAAGTGTGTATTTACATGCATTTTGAACTTAAAAATTAAACTTTAAATTATTTTAAATTCTGGCTTATATTCTGTTTTGATCACAATTACAGTATTAAGCGCTCTAATTTGATGGCTAATAAAAAAGAAATTCCTGAAGACATTTATGACTAATATGTTTTTAGTCTCACATGGGGTATAAAAAATGTCTTCTTATTGCATGTAAACACAGATGTTGTGTGTGCATGTGTGTGTGTGCGTGTGTGTGCATTTTTCTACATCATGGGGACCATTTTCCAGAAAAACTCAGGTTCATGGGGACCAAATGTGCCTCGTGGGGACTTAAGCCCGGTCCCCATGGACACAGATGGTACCAGGGTCAGGGTTACGCTATAGAAATGTTGTAGAAAATTACGGTTCTCACAGGCATATAAAACAAACAAGTGTGTGAGAGTGTGAGCTGTATGAAAGCAGATAAACCTTTTTCACTGCATGGCTTTGCATGGTCTGAACCAGGACTTGTCTTCACTGTTTATACTTTGTGCACTTCGAATTTATTTCTAAGTAAAGTTCAGGGAGAAAAAAACACCCTCCTTCAGTTCTAGAGTTTTACTTTTATTATCACTGGGACCAGCACTAAAACCATTCTAAACAGAGCATATATAGGAGTGTGTTAACAAAATAGCAAGAAAGACATCAGCAATGCGCTTTTGCCCTGTTTACACAAAGATGGTTTTCAGTGAAAACATAATTTTGTTGTGATCCAGCAACTCCTTTACATGTCACCAGTGACCGGAGTCTCTGGCCCTGTTTACATGAGACCGTTCTCTGGAAATGCTAATGTTTACTGGGTTAAATACACACACAAAAAAAAAAATCACCCGTTGACAGGAATCACTGCAGTTATGTGCCATACTATGGGGTGCCAAGTGTAAAATGAAATGTAAAAAAATTTCAACTAACATTTTATTGTTTTTTACTCACTGTTCTTACATTTAGCTAATTTTTACTAAATTTAAATTTAATTGTTCAAAAATATATTTAAATGTTAAATCCTAAATCTAAATGTTAAATCTAAATGTAAAAGTTAAACCTTCAGGTATTTTGGAATGGAGCACAGCTTTTTTCTGTTAGTTCTCAAAGACATGCATGTTAGGTTGCCTTGTGGACCAGGCCTCTCTTGCAAAAGAGATCTGTGGTCTAAATTAGATTTGTTTGGTTAAATAAAGCTAAATAAATTTAGATTTTTACCCAAAATATATGAAATACCAACTGTCAGTATGGTGGTGGAGGGCTGATGGATTGGCCTTGTTTTACAGGACCTGGGCATCTCTGTAGACCAAAGAATACTAGAACCATAGTTGGGGTCAGGACCAAATTATATGCCACAAAACACTAAGTTCAAAGATGATCTCCAGAGATTTAATGAATTAAAAATAAATGGAAGCAGTTCTAAAAGACAATGAAGGGTTGTTGAGGCAGCTTATTTATGTATTAACAATGTTTCCATACTTCAGTCATAGACAGTTAGGGATCTTTGGTCAACTGTATTTTTGTGGGTCAAAGATGAAAAGTTTTGGGATCCCTAATCTAGAGTTAAACGTGAGGCCATTTGTCCAACAATTTAAGCTTTAACCAAACTGGAGGACATGATACAACAACAGGACAATGATCTCAAATGCAGCAGATAATCTCCATCAGATCAACTCAGAAAGAAAATAATCAAGATGCTGCAACAGTCCAGTCAAAGTCCAGATCCACAATCTGACTGAAATGCTGTGGTGAGACTTTCAGTGAGGTGAGCAGAAACCAATGTCTGCAAGCCTTAATGAATTAAAATGTTGTAAAGAAAAGCAGGTTTCTCCACAACCATGTGAGAGACTGATAAGGTCCTACAGGAAAGCACTACTGAGAGTTCTTGCTGCTAAAAGAAGTTCTACAAGACGATGGTCATAACCCTTTTGTTTCCCTAGAACTGCAAGAAACAAAACACTTAAATTACATCTTCAAACTGAATATTGTACAAAAAAATGTAACAATCCTTCACATTCTGGTTTCGTATAAACTCAAGTGTTGATCTAGAAAGCAATATAACTTCCTTTCTTGGATATGATTGAACAGGAAGTCCAGTTGCCTTCAGTTGGCAACATGAGTTGTGAAAAATGGTCATCATAATTACTGATGGAGACACACTGATGGAAAGCACACAACTGTCTGTTTGGTGATAGTAATGAAAGTTTTTGTCTCATTCCATACTGCTCCACATCAGGCGCCATCATGGGACTCGTGGGTAAGCCTGAGACAATTATCGTAATGTAGAAAAAAACAATATTAAAAGTGGAGAAATAAACTTTCCAACTCTCTCCCTTTGGGTTCGCTCCTCCTTGTGTGGTGGTCTTTACCCTATCATTCAACCCTTTGGCTTCTCCTGTATTTACCCTCCTGATCTTCCTACTGATGCAAACCAACCCTTGGTGCTGTAGCAAGAGCAGGCCACTTCAGAGCAGGTACCCCAGCATGATGAGGACCTAGAAGAGACCCAGAGTGGTTGGAATTACAATGAAAGCTGCTCTCAGAGCTACAGTCAGCCCAGGACTGAGGACTGGAATGAAGACCAGGGGTACACTACACCCAACTGGGACAATGTTGATGACGAGGAGGAGGTAGTGTTGAGGATCACAGTTGGAACCTCCAAAACGTCCTCTTGATCAGTCTTAGATCCCTTTCAAATTTAGTGAAAGACACAAAAAGACTGTCTTCCCTGAAGCTTTCTTCTTTTTTCCTACTTTAAACTCTTTTTTCTTCTTCTTTGGTGTTTACTAATTTGTCAGATACTTCTTTCCTAACAAACCTGGACTTTTCTCTGAATTTCTAGCTACAGGGTTTGGTGACCAATGGCTCCAATGGAGAACTTCCTCCAGGGTTCCTGTACAAGGTGAAACCACTTTGTCTGTCCTTTGCACAGTGAATAAAAACTCTGGCTCGGCTTTTATTGAGATTCTTTGCTCTTGTCCTCCAGGTCAAAGCAACACACGAGTACACCGCCACAGACAACGATGAGCTGGAGCTGAACATTGGAGATGTTGTTTTGGTTTTAGCTTTTGACAACCCAGATGAGCAGGTGAATATGTTTTGTGTTTATGTAGATAGAGATTGGGGCATCATGCCGGCGCAGTTGGTAAAGCTGTCACCACTCAGCTAGGAGTTTACTTTGAAATTTGATCCCAGATGGGTTTTTTTTTTTTTTTTTTTGGTTTGTGGTGTATTGTTGATGATGAGTTTCTTCTCTGTCTGTCTGCAGGATGATGGCTGGCTCTTGGGTTTGAAGGAGTCCCATTGGTTGCAGAAGAAAGATATTTCAGCCAAAGGTGTTTTCCCTGAAAACTTTACTCAAAAGGTTTGATGTAATTGCCACATACAGACTCTCAGCTTTTTTTTTTCTCTGCTCCGTCACCTCAGTCCTGTTATTTCAGCATCCATTTTTGTTGGACCCACTGAAAGGTGACATCTCATAATGTAAAATGGTGCCTGTTAGTGAATAGTCAAAGTCAAAAGACATAGAAAAACACAGACATGGAGAAAAAAAGTCCACTATTTCAGTTCTAGGGTTCCAATATTCCAACAAATTGAAGAACCTCCTCAAGCAGCAAGAACTCTTGGTAGTGGTTTTATGTTGGTCTGTAACTACGGCATCACTACTGTGTCACTAGCTTGAAAGTGCAGTAATGCTGATTTGAGCGCATTTATCAAAATGAACGACAATAATTTGAAGCGTTTGCATTCGAATCACACACACGTTCAGTAGTATTCTGGCAATCTCTCAACTCTGACAAACTGCTTGTCCGGCTGTTTCACAAATCTTATGGTTCCTCCAGATGGCACTTTCCAAACTGAAGTTGTTCTGCCATATTGTTTTCCCAATCAAACCATCCTGCCATTACCTTTAACCTGCAAGTGGAACTCGAAATTGTGAAGTTGGACTTACGTCAGTTCCGATTTGACAGCATTCCAGTTTCCAGCTTGTCAGAATGTCGGAAAAAAAGTGCTTCTAGGTATGGCCGTTTTGTACCAATTTGCCGACTCAAAACTACAACTTTAGGGGCTCTTCCAGTTGATAATTTTACCTCAGAAGCCTGAAATTCCACCTGGAACCCTGTACCAGACCTGCAGAGTCTGAGATAGAGTTATTTCTATGAGATTTCTCTTCAGTTCATCCCAAAGGTCCACTGTGAATAATATTTTTCTGTGCAGAATGATGGACTCAAATAGTTTTGAAATGACCTTTGACCTTTCACAGACAGATGGGCAACAGAGCCATTGCAAAAGTCTTTCCCTCTTGGTGTTGTGTTAACGTACAACTGCGTACTGTAGATGTTACAGAGGTGGTCCCACTGAGGATTTTTTACAATCAGGTAAAAATCAGATGACTTAATTGTAACCTTAGAACTGAAAGACAGTGGACTCCCCCCACCCCCACCATGGCTGTCCATTTCTGTTTTGATTTTTTTTTTTTTTTTTTTACTGTAGAGTTAAAAGCCCACATTTTCAGATGTTTTTTTTTTTGCATCCAAGTCAACTTGTTTTTTTTTCTTTCTCCTTTTGAAAATCCCCAAATAGAGAAACAAAAGCCAAAACAGCACCAGAATTTCCACAAGTATATAAAAAATGAAGTTCAGGAACAAACTAACAAAGTACACCAAACTACATCAAACCTGATGCATTTGAACATATTTTCTGCTGTAGTCTAGACTTGGCTAGACACTAACCTCAATAAAGTGTTTTCATAACAGTTCTTCAAAACCTTTTCCCCCATCTGTAACATTAAAATGTAAAATGCTGAACACTCTTTACAGGAGTAAAGTTTTCTACTATTCAGAAAGAAAAGCCATTAATCTGACCATTAAAGTTTGTGTCTAAACTCCAAATAAGGACCCTGCATTTCAAAACTTGACTTGAATAAACTAAAAGTTTCCTGATGAAAGTCCAGTTGTTTTCTGTTTTAGGAGTAGAGTTGAAAAGAAACGAAAAATTTTTTGGAAAATTTCCAGAGAAGAAGTTGGAAAATTTACATGAAATTGATGGGAATAATAATTACCTGAAAATTTGAAGTGGTTTAAACAAATCGTACCATTAAAAACTCACACAAAATATAAACATTTTGTTTTGTCAGAAGCAGGCTATGGCTGTGTCCAAATTCAGGGGTTGCATCCTTCGAAGGCAAAATTTGTGGCCACTGCGCCTCGCTGAAGACTGTCCAAATTTGAAGACTCCTAAACTGAGGCCCATCAATGCATCCTCCTTTTGCCTCGATTTGAGGGATGAGTCTGGTGTGTCCATCTCGATCACCCCATCCCAAGATGCATTGCAGATTGACTGGAGTTTTTTTTTTCTTAAAAAGGTGACCGGTGCTAGAAAATTTGTAGTTTTAAATAAAAATCTGGTGGTATAAAATTTTCAACTTTAAAGTGGTTGTGTTAGACTTTTGTCATTTGACATGTTTTTTACCTCCGCCAAGGAGGTAATGTTTTCGGTCGCGTCCGTCTGTCTGTCTGTCTGTCTGTCTGTCGTTCTGTCTGTGGACAACATTACTCAAAAACTTGTGGACGGATTGTCATGACATTTTTTACCACATGTGGATACTGGGCCAACTAACACACCATTAAATTTTGGTGATTTTCCAGATCACAATGCAGATACAGGAATTTTCTTTTCTTTTACTCTCTGAGGTCGAAAGCTGTGATGCTTTCACAGGGCTTCTGTAAAAAACAGTGACAGCTATCAGTGTTCATTTGAACTGATTGGACAGCGCACACTTCAAATGTTGTATTTTTTATTTACTTCCAAATCAAACCAGATTTAATGATGAATAATTTTTGCCATAATGTGCGCATTATTACGCATTTGGTGCGCATTTAGAGAACGCTTTGTGACCAGGAAGTGCGTGACTGCACCATGAAAGCTATTTGTCCCATTTCCTCAAACACACCACATTGTAGACACATGTAGACAACTTTGAACAAAATTGTTGATGTTATATATTCATGGATATCCCATTGGATTCACATAAAAAAACTAAAAATAAGTCAATTTCCAATCAGAAAAAATGACTGACATCTAACTTTCTGTACGACAGATTTTCATTATTAACAAAGCTATTTTCACAATATTTGGTCATTAAAATGTAAAATTTCCAACATCAAATATTTTCAGGGTTTTGCTGCCCTAACTGGAAAAACTCTTTTAGTTTCTTTGCGTAACACATTTAATTTAAAAATTTTCAGTCCCTGTAATAACAGGTGCTGTTCAGGTACACTGTCCAGCAGAACGCTAGATTTAACATCATGTTTTCAGGACTTAACCCTGATTTAATAAAGTCTGTTCAAGGTTTATCAAAGGGAACACTTTTTTTGTAGCACCGGTCATTTTGAGGATAGGAATTCTTTTTCATATGGAAGTCATTTTATCACAGCTCATCTATTCACTGAGAGATATGATGCTAAACCTTATAATAAAACTTTATCTCCCTAGTTTTGTCTTTTCATGACATATGATAAAACATCTAAAAATTAAATTTTGTGTCAGGACCTTCTGTGTAGGCTCATTTTTTCTCAGTATTCTTCTTAATTAAAAGTGAAGTTTTGTAGTCCATAACTGCAATAAAAAACTGCAGGATTTGTTGCCTGCAGTCACATTGCAAAATGAAAGACTTAGATTACATAATAATGCATTATTTAAAACGTTTTTGTTTTTTTTGTTGGCTACAATCACATTAAATAAACCACAGGTAAGCACATGCAACAAATATTTTTACACTTTGTGAAGTGGATGAATAAGACACTGATCTGTTTTAACAAATGCACCATTTGTTGAATGAAATCAGTTTCATTAAAGATGAATGAAACAGTATTTGTGTGTTGTTGTTTTTTTTAAAGGAACAAAAGGTTATAAGGAAATTCGTGGGCTCTTCTGTTTAAGGAAAAAACAACCCTTCTGTAAATATGAGACCACACAATAAGTGAACGTGAGACAGTGACTTCAGTTGACCTAATAATAAACTAGATCATTTATTTACAGAATCAAATAAATCACTAATGTACATGTACAGCTTATTGTGGACAATCAAACTTCCTACAAAGAGTTGAAATCAACAACTAACATGCGTCTGAGTTAATTATCATTACTTTGACAACTTTATCAGGAACAACAAACTCCAGGCTTAAGGTCTTAAATAAACCATTGTTTGCTGCACTTTTTCTTAAAGGGGCAATATCATGTAAAATCAACTTTTTTGAGTTTTATATCATGTTATACTCATAAAAACATGCCCAAAGCCTTGCTCTGACTCATTCATGCATGTTTGAGAAATCCTGCAGCGTTTTTAGGAAGCCATGCTGAGGAGCAAAACGACAGGTGGGGACCAGAAACGCCTTTTAGAGGTGGGCGGATCAATACTAAATATCGATAATATCGATACCAGTGCTGGTATTGATATTGAACAATACTCATGTAAAAAGATCGATACTCACGCTTTGTTCTTTCCTGCACACACTGACTGCTGCACACGTAGATTATTCAAAGTCTACTCTGTCTGTAGTACTGCACTGTGTCACACACAGCATGGAGCGGTGGGCGGATCGATACTAAATATCGATACCAGCGCTGGTATAGAACAATACTCGTGTAAAAAGATCGATACTCACGCTTTGTTCTTTCCTGCACACATTGACTGCTGCACACGCGGATTTTTCAAAGTCTACTCTCTGTCTGTAGTGCTCACACTCAGCAGCGCTAGCCAAACAGCTGAGCTAACTAAGCAGGTAGGCTGGCCCACTTAGCGTTCTCATCGAGCCCTCTACCTCACGAGATTTTGTTTTAAGTTGTCTTGAGTGATATTTTTTATTGTTTATTTACATAAAACAGAAACCAGAGACCAGTTTCTGTATTGAAAGGAAGAAAATTCCTTATTTTTTGTTTTTCCTTAGAACAATTTTATTTAATAAAAGAAACAAAGAAATAACTAGCATAGATATCTAGTGGTGAGGGAAAAATTTTTATTTTATTTTTGTATAAAAGATTTATTTTCCTAATGTTAAAGGAAACTGGTTTGTTACTGCTTAATTGTTGGCAAGCAAAAATATTGATTGTTATAATAAAGTACTTTGTCACATACAATGTTTGGAGAAATTCTATCCTAGATCTTTTCAAATTATGATGCTTAAAAAGTATCGGTATCGATATCGGTGGCCCTGTATTTACTTGATATCAGATCGATACCAAAATTCCCAGTATCGCCCACCTTTTTGTACCAGAAACGCCCCTGGGACATGTCTTTAACCCGAACTTCCTCATGGCGAAGCGCCTCCCCCCTCCCTCCCCCCACCCATGACTGCAGGCTCTCAGGAGAAAGTGAAACTTCCTGCCTGCTGAGCTCTCAGCATTAGTTGTCACTCAGTGAAGCTCCTTTCAGATTAAAAATACCTTTGAGGAAATGTATTTTCAGATGCTAAGTAAACCGCATCATAGCACCCCCCCCCCCCCTCAAAACGGGACAGAAGAGAAGCAGAAGGAGGTTCTTAAAGAGACAGGCCAATTTCAAGGCGTTTAGAAGAGGAAGTGATGAGAAGATACGTTTATTTTCTATTTAAACATAAAAACAGCATTTTAATAACAGCTAAAGGTGACAGATACTTTATTACGGCATAGTATTTAAATATACGCCGAGAAACACATAATATTGGCCCTTTAAGTTTTGACAGGGCATAAGCTGAGGGTAAGAAAAGAGGGAAATGAAGGTGTTAGTCCTAACTCCTAACTGGTCAACTGGTCTCTGAATGCAATTGACACTTTTGTTTTTTGAGATTGGAGTGTGGGAAACGTAGCTGTCCCAGTGGAATGGTTGCTGCTGGTCAGGTAGGTTCCTGGGGCTGGAACCTGATCTGTTTGGTGCCACTTTCCATTGAAGAAGTGGAAGATTTGTACATATTTGGATTTATGATGGTTGGATTCCTGCTGATCGGCGGAGGTGGAATTCTGGCTTATCGGAAAAAGAAAGTGATCCTGACAGCAGTCCAGGCCTGTTAGAAGCTGTCAGGAACCTTTGATGGAATCTCCTGTACTGGTAACACACAGACTCAGATGCTGGGGGAAGTAAGTTGCAAACTGGATGTGATTCTGATGAGAATCGCAGCTCAGCAGCGTGCCCATAAGATGTAGGATTACACCTGGGTGAAGTTTCAGACAGAAAGAGGCGAGAAAGAGGAAACCCTGAACTCTGGGACTGAGCTTGGGAGGAGAAGATCTGGTCTCTGACAGGTCCTGGTCTTGGATTGGTTCCAGCACGGAGTATTAACCTAAAACGTCACCAGCTCCACTGAATCCCGGCCCTGTACCATGTGTTTAATCCCCAGCCCCCTCCCCTCCTTAGCTGTCTGCTCTTGCAAGAACTCCATCTGTTCCTGGATGCTGGACTTCCTTACCATTATCAGTTCTTCCAACCTGGAGTACAAGCAGTGGTGGTCAGTGCATTTTACACCTAGTGGTGACCTGCCTGAATCTATGCTCTATGTGCTTTTAATGCTGTCATTATGATTCCACAGCTACAAAATTACAATAATACACAGAAATGAAACATAATTGCAGTTCTCCCCCCTTACAGATTTTCATAAAATTTAAGGAGTGGAAATAAAAACTTAAGGGTGATGGTCAGCAGAGATTGTAACAACACTCAACTACCGAAACTGTAAAATTTCTACTTTCTCTGGCCAAGCATGGCACAATTTATACTTTGTCTTCTTCAGGTATCTTCCTGTGAGAGTTTTTCCTCTCCGTCAATGTGCTGCTCAGGATGGGAGACTGTGATGAAGTGAAGATTCAACACAATCTGCTGGTTTCTTTAGATTGATTGGGTGTTTTTTCTACAGTGCCCTGAGACATTTGTTGTGACTTGGTGCTATATAAATAAACTGAAATGAATTGAACTGT